CGGCTCATTCTTCTTATTCACATTCAAGCTCATTTAATGGGTCACAGCATAGCGGTAGTTTGCAGATTATTCCATTGCAGAATAAAGGGTCCTTGAAGGTTCTGCTTCTACATGGAAATTTAGACATTTGGGTATATGAAGCCAGAAACCTTCCAAATATGGACATGTTCCACAAGACTTTGGGGGATATGTTTTTGAAGTTACCAGGGAGTGCAAGTAGCAAAACCGATGGCCAATCGAGTCGTAAGATTACTAGTGATCCATATGTTTCAATCTCAGTTTCAAATGCTGTAGTTGGGAGGACATATGTGATAAGCAATTCTGAATTTCCTGTTTGGACGCAACATTTCAATGTTCCAGTAGCACATTACGCTGCTGAAGTGCACTTTGTTGTTAAAGATAGTGATCTTGTGGGGTCCCAGCTTATTGGGGTTGTGGCAATTCCAGTAGAACAGATATATACGGGAGCAAGAGTTGAGGGAATTTATCCAATCTTGAATTCGAGTGGGAAGCAATGTAAAGCCGGAGCTGTCCTAAGACTTTCAATTCAGTACATTCCAATTGAGCAATTGAGCGTTTACCATAATGGAGTTGGGGCAGGCCCTGATTATTTTGGGGTTCCTGGCACATATTTTCCTCTTAGGACAGGTGGAAAAGTAACTCTTTATCAAGATGCCCATGTCCCAGATGGGATGCTTCCAAACTTGATGTTAGATGGTGGGATGCCATATGTGCATGGGAAGTGTTGGCATGATATTTTTGATGCAATACGTCAGGCCCAGCGTTTAATTTACATTGCTGGTTGGTCAGTTTGGCAGAATGTTAGACTAGTTCGGGATGTTGGTGGTGCATCAAATTGCACCATAGGGGATCTTCTGAGGTCCAAGTCCCAAGAAGGAGTGAGAGTGCTGTTGCTTGTTTGGGATGACCCTACTTCAAGGAGCATTTTGGGTTATAAAACAGTAAGTATTCTTCGACTATTCATATTCTGGAATAGCTATTCTATCAAGTGATCATGGTTGTAAAACTTCTATCGTTATTATTATCTTTGTTTAACTTGTGAATTTCTTGGATGCAAGACCTTTCACTTAGTTTGTGTTGCATCACAAGAAGCATAGTGTTGAAAGTTACTGTTGAATCAAAAGAGAAATGAATGCCAGAAATTGGTTATCATGATAAAATGCTTTAGATGAAAGCAACTGAATGTTGATAGAGTCAATGACATTGATATCATCCTTTTATTGTATGATTTTCATATTATTTCCTTTTTAAGTTCAAACTGGAATTGTTGTATGTGTTTTTCAATGGAACATGAGAACTTATTTGTTGCAGGATGGAATCATGCAAACCCATGATGAAGAACTTCGCCGCTTTTTCAAGCATTCTTCAGTGCAAGTATTACTTTGCCCTCGCACTGCTGGAAAAAGACATAGCTGGGTCAAGCAAAGGGTTAGGCATAACCAAGCATTTGTTGCTATGTCGTCATTTTTCATCACTTAATACCATCCATCCAATTCTGGTTTTTTCCTTCTTGTTGCTGTATTATTTTCTGAACTTGTTTTCAATTGAATGCTTCTTATATTTTGGATTTCCAGGAAGTTGGAACGATCTATACACACCATCAGAAAACTGTAATAGTGGACGCTGATGCTGGCAATAATAGGAGGAAAATCATGGCCTTTGTTGGAGGACTTGATTTATGTGATGGTCGGTATGATACGCCGGATCACCCTATATTTAGGACATTACAAACAGTGCATAAAGATGACTATCACAATCCTACATACACGGTAATTATGAGACCTCTTCTAATTCCATAATTGTGAATAGCTATGTAGTTAAATTGTAGCACACTACGCATTTCATTGGCACTCCATAACAAAAAAAATAAATAATAAAAAAATAAAAAACAGAAGGTTATAGTTATTTGTTGCTCAATTTTGAACATTTTGTCCTCTATAGTTGGCTTAGTGAAGGAGCGAGATATATAGTTAGAGGGGGGCACTAATAGTCCTAGATAGTATAATGTTTTGAAATCAGATTCTACATAGAAACTTCAATAGTAGTAGATTTATATTCATTGGAAAACAGTTGTTCTTAATGAGTGGTGCATGATAACTTCTCAATCAATGAAATAAGTTTTTTCTGTGGCCAAGTAATACCACCCAGTAATCATCCATGTATTACGAATTTTTCTCTTCTAATTATCTATATGGTTTTATCTCATTGAAGGGCAGCACTGCTGGTTGTCCAAGAGAACCATGGCATGACATGCACTCTAGACTTGATGGTCCAGCGGCATATGATGTACTGACCAACTTTGAAGAGCGCTGGTTAAAGGCTTCAAAACCACATGGGATGAAAAAACTAAAAAAAAGTGCATATGGTGATTCTTTGCTCAGGTTGGAAAGGATTCCAGACATAGTTGGAGCGTCCCATGCTGCTTCCACTAGTGACAACGATCCTGAAACTTGGCATGTTCAGGTAAATGAGGTCATAACTGATTATTGAGGTTGCCCATGAAACTTGGCTAAACTGGTAAAGGGGTAGGACTGAGTAGATTTTAGATTCAAATTTCCCAGCCAACAAGAAAAAGTAAACTATTGAAATAGTTTGCATTATATCCATTCTTACAAATGAAAATATTTTTCCTGGTGTTTCACCAATGCAGATTTTCCGTTCAATTGACTCAAATTCTGTTAAAGGTTTCCCAAAGGATCCAAAAGAAGCAACAAGCAAGGTAAATTGATATTTATTGAAAATTCTCTTCGCTGCGATCTTTTCGGACTGGTGATAGATGCTCTGTTGTAACAGAACCTGGTGTGCGGAAAAAATGTGCTCATTGACATGAGCATACACACAGCATATGTGAAGGCAATCCGCGCTGCCCAGCATTTCATTTATATAGAGAATCAGTATTTCATTGGGTCCTCATACAATTGGAGTGCGCATAAAGACTTAGGTGAGAAACATTGTTATGTTTAGAGAGTATTGAGTCTATTGACCACCAAAGTACTAAAATACCCTTCTATTGTCATGGTTTACTTTGTAGTTTAATATAGAATTACGGTCAAATGTATATGATCCTACTAACTCTGAATCTCTTCATAGGTGCTAACAATTTGATCCCAATGGAAATTGCCCTTAAGATTGCTAGTAAAATCAGAGCAAATGAGAGATTTGCTGCATATATCATCATTCCAATGTGGCCAGAGGGTGTTCCAACGGGTGCAGCAACACAAAGAATTCTGTTTTGGCAGGTAGGCTCCGATTATTATCTTGATAGTTGAAACCTTTGTTTAGTCAAGAATTGCAAATTGTTAACGCTTCTAATTATCTGATTTATTTAATGTAGTATTAAAATTTGACATAGTATACGGGTAGATTTTAACTTAGAAAATCAGGTTAGTTAATATAGAAAGTCTCTGATGTATGTGATGTGGAAGACTGAGGTAGGTCAATGGTTCTGTTCCATGTATAAAACTTCAAAGGATTGTTAATTAGTAGATTTGTGATTCCTCTTCTAGTGAGGACATTAGGGTGTAAAGTAGGGAAATTATGATACCTCAGTAACACATTGTGAAGATTTAAGGTAGTTACGTAAGACCTAGGAAATGATGTCAACTGAAGCAAGGACCTTTGCTTTTGCGTATATCGTCATTTGAAAATGTTGACTAAAGGGAAGGGAAAGAAGGAAGAGTTTTTACTTGTTACATAATAAATTACGAAAATCAATCATGTGAGTGGATGCTACATTAGAAACTGCAGGGACTCGTCTATTTTAAAGCAGGATGGCTCATCCTCGATAAATGAAAGCTATATAATCTGTACTGACTGAGTTCAGAATGTTGTTTATGTGGGTTCTTTTATTGATTGCTGCAGCACAAGACAATGCAAATGATGTACGAGACAATTTACAAGGCTTTAGTGGAAGTTGGGCTGGAGGGTGCATTCTCCCCCCAAGACTATTTAAACTTCTTCTGTCTTGGCAATCGTGAGGCCATAGATGGAAATGATACATCATTCTCTGGAAGTCCTACTGCAGCCAACACTCCTCAGGTATATTCTCTCTAAGAAAAATAGCACTATTTACTCCTGTAGGCGGAGAAAGAGAGAGAGAGTATTGTTTTATTGTTGTTAATTCCTAAATTTCCTCGAATTTGTTCATAGGCAGAGAGAGACAGAGAGAGAAAGAGAGAGAGAGAGAGAGAGAGAGTTGATTCCTATTGTTTTATTGTTGTTAATTCCTATTTTCCTCGAATTTGTTTATATGACAAACGTACCTATATAACTGGTGTACATCATGTTTCCAGGCGCTTAGTCAAAAGAGCAGGCGATTTATGATTTATGTTCATTCGAAAGGCATGATAATTGATGACGAGTATGTAATAGTGGGTTCGGCGAACATCAATCAGCGCTCTATGGAAGGGACAAGAGACACCGAAATTGCAATGGGGTCCTATCAACCTCATCATACCTGGGCAAGAAAAAATGCTAGTCCTCATGGACGGGTAAAGTGATACAGCTATAAGTTGTCATGAAAGTATATTTTTCTGAGATGTCAAATTAAGCTAACATGTGTAACCCAACTTCCTGTCTTGTATGTTTTGCTTCGCAGATATATGGATACAGAATGTCACTATGGGCAGAGCACACCGGAACCATTGAGGACTGCTTCACACAACCGCAGAGTCTTGAATGCGTAAGGAGAATAAGATCAATGGGTGAGATGAACTGGAAACAATTTGCTTCCGATGATGTGACGGAGATGCGGGGTCATCTGTTGAAGTATCCAGTTGAAGTTGATCGGAAAGGCAAAGTGACATCCCTTCCTGGAAGCGAGAATTTCCCAGATGTGGGAGGAAATATAACCGGTTCGTTCCTTGCAATCCAAGAAAACCTGACAATTTGATTTGCAAATCGAATTCAATTACATTACAAAGTTTTGGTTTTCTTTTCTCACGAGTACAATTTTGGTGTTTTGGTATTTTTTTTTTTCCATAAATTTTATCCGACCCGCCTGCATTGCAGGTTATTAAATTTCACTTCAGGTTGTCTTTTGAATTTTCTTTATTTTTGGCTTGCTAAATTCAATACAATACAATCCATCCTTCCATGCTGTTTCCACAACTCAGAAATTTTGCTTACTAACCAGACCATATACAAACAATCGAGCAAAACACCGGATCTGAGAGAAAAAATTTATAACGAGAAAATCACGCGTTGTGGATTCGTCTAATCAAATATAATCAGCTTCATGATCACTAATCAGCGTCAGATTAATTAACTTCTTCATGAGATATTAACAAGCTTTGGCCTTCTAGTATTAGGATTTGCCTCTACCCGAAGGCCAAGTTGAGCAATTTCAGGTGTATCAACAGCCCCTTGAAGCTCCAATTCAGCCACTACCCTTTCGTTTTCTTCGTTGCCTTCGAATAAGTTCCTGACACACCAAATGGCCCACTCCCTTAAGTACGGATTGTCGTCATCAAGGCCGCACTGTTGCAAGAGCAGAAGAATCCCGTCCTTTTGTCTAATCTCATCTTGTACAAGCTTCCTTTTATACGTGCAATTGCCAACGACGGCCACCATATCTCTCCGAAATCCTTTATACGGGCAGGGTTTTAAGGAAGAAGACTTTGGTCCATCTCGTTCCTCACCTTGCTTGATAGCTTTCCTCATTACTGATGTCGGCTCAAGATCACGAAGCAAACATAAAAGTAATTCTATGAGGCCATGGGATAGCAAAACATCAACAGCATCCCCCAGGTCCTCGTTAGAGCCTCTTACGGACTTCTGAGCGCATATATCTCTCAGGATTGTGAGTGAATATCCTAGAACATCTATCATACTAGAACCCGTTGGAAGTCCAGACTTGCCTCTTGTGGCACATTTAAGAATCCCAATAGATTTCTTAAATATCCCAAAAACACAGAAAGCTAAATCACTGGGCACAGTAATCTCTTGAAGTCGCTCGTTCAAGATATCAGACATGCATCTCAAGAAAAATGCTTGCTCGGCTGAGAAAGCGTCAACTCTAAATTCAGTGTCTTCACCATTCTCAGTAGCACCCACAAAACCTAAATTAGAGAAAAGTGACTGGAAGTAAGGTCCTTCTAAGCAGCTTCTTGAAAGAAGCAATTTGTACCAATCTTCGCCAAAACCAACTGTAAGACACCCAAAACGTATTAAAAAACAAAAAAAAATGAAGGCACAGGTCAGGGTTCATTTCATTAATTTTAGGTTTCAGCAGATAAACTCAATCGAGGCTAAATGGATGGTATCAATGAATAAAGGTAACATAAAATAACTGAATGTACAAAGTTACCTGGTAGTCTTTACAATCTCTTTCACGACAGTTATTCCACGAGCACTGCAAAGTTGGGCAAACAGTTCGGGGCTTCCGTCACCACAAGCATAGATAACCATGCACAAAGGATGACAAGTTTCCCGGCTCTGAACTCTTGCAAGAGCAACAAACTCTTTTGGTCAAAGTTGCTGCCAAATTGCACGCTGATGTTGTTCTCCAGCCAATGAAACATTAGCAAGAACTTGCAACCCCATACGAATGATCCCAGCATCCGGCTCCAAAGAAAGGCTCGCAGAGTTGAAAACGTTCGATACGATTGCAACTCCATTATGTTGAACAAATGAGTTCTGATTTGCAATCTCTCCCGCACAAAGATTTCTTACGAGCTTTAAACATAATGTGAGAGGATGGTGAGCAGAAGGGTAAGGGAGAGATTGTATGAGCTGGATGGCAGGGGGAAGAATATCCTCAGACGCAAGGCCTGCACGACCATCTGCTGTTCTACAAACTTGTATTAAGTTTTCCAACGAATTCACGAGGGTAGATGAGTCTCCCGCACTTAGTATTTTCCGGAGAACATGTTGAGGTACAGAGCACTCTTGCAGTGCTGCATTATCCATTACTGATCAATCAACTGATATCGAAACCAAAAAATGCAGAAATTTCTACAGCTAAATTGGTGATGAATTGATAATTAACACTGTGGTACAAACTCACAAGTATTAATGTATTATCATGATGATAATTAAATAAAAACTAGAGTTAGTGCAATATAATCACAGAATCAACGCCTAACAAGTAAATTTTACATGAAATCATACTTGGAAATCAAAAACAAAAAATATATATCTCAATCATTTCTTATTTAATATGAAATCAAACAAATATTAAATATGTTTAATTCATCAAACCCAAATCCACAAATTCAATGCCCCCAATTGACAACGAAGCTCAAAATTTGCGTGTAAAACTAAATTTATACCCGGGAAGGTGGATAAAATCCCCAATTGGTAATTGATGGCAGGAGAAGGAACAGACCAAATTCAATTTTCTTTCTTTTGGCCGAGACTCGGTCGAAACTTTGCTCGGCTGCGAAACTAAAACTGAAAGCTTTGCCTTTGTTTCACGACTGTCTCTGTAAACTGTAAACAAACAACGTTTGAAATAAACGAGCCGACTGTGGAGAAGGGAAGAGCACTCGAACTTCTGTCCTTGATGGGGCCCACTTACGAATAAACGGTCCAACAGGCTCCCATGAAAGGAGCGTAGTGGATGTAAGAGCTGTGCTTGCTAGTGGATGTAAGAGCTGTGCTTGCAATTTGCCAAATTTCTCCATTTATTTACCCCAACCCCCCCCCCCCTCTCCCCCTAACCCCAAACCGCACCTAACCCAACCCAACCCAACCCAATTCATGCCAAATCTTTAGGCTAAAATCCCAATGCCAAACCAAACGTGTGGACTCGTCCAAAGGGAGCCCAGTCTAGGCTCGATGATGCACCCACGCGGGCTGAGGCCTTCAACGCTCGACAGGGAGGGATCCACTGTCAAGGCCTCTATCGGCTGCCATCATGAGCCCAACGGCTTTTTTTATCATCGGATGGCTAGGCTTTTTGGACTATTGATTGATCTAACAGTCCAGATTCAAATTTTTCCTTTTTAAAAAATGTAATTTTAAAATACATTGAATCCAACGGCTGAAATTTAATATAATCAAATTTAACAGTAAAAAAAGATTTAATGACCCAAATTTAAACCCAATGGCTAAAATAATTTAAAAAACAAAAATTATGTAACTCAAAATTCACCCAAAAACTCTATAAATACCTATGTATTTGTTCAAACATCCACACAAAACTCACTTTTCTCCTATAATTCTTCCAATTTTTCTTTCTACCATTTCTTCCTATTTCTAAAATTTTCAAGATGTTAAGAGAGGATATTAGAGGACGTAATTGGACCTTTGAGGAAGATGTTACTTTATGCTTGGCATGGGTTTCTGTTAGCGAAGATGGTGCGGTTGGCACGAATCAAAATAAAAAGGTTTTGTGGGATAAAATCATTGAAAAGTTTCATGAAAACTGCAACGGTGGCGGGAGGGACGGTGGTGGTGTTTACAATCGGTGGAAGACTATCAACAAAACATGCACTTTATGGAAGGGAAACTTGGCGAGAGCCGTGGTTGGCATGGCTAGCGAAAGGAGCACCGCAGAAATTGTGAGTTTTTTCGTTGAAATTTTATTTGTCATGTACATAATATTATTTCACAACTAATGGTTTTCATGCATTTTTTGCATAGGGTGACAAAGCAATGAAAATTTACAAGACAAGAGTAACACCAAAAAATCAAGTTTTAAAGTTGCAACATGCTCGGGAAGAAGACTTAAGAATGTTGATATCATTATTTGATCTAGGAGCACCAAAGAATGCAAGCCAAATCCATGTGTCGTAAGACGCCACAGCCTCGAGCACGATGATTAGCTTGTTATGACGACCCTTGAATTGGCCAGCCCAAGCAGTAAGACAATTCTTCATCTCCCAATGCATATAATCGAGACTTCTTATCATGCTAGGGAAGCGTCTTTTTTCTAGCTTGCGTAGAAGCCTCTTCAAGTCTTCACGATTTGGCTTGCGGAGGTATGTGGCTCCATATATGGCTTGAATTGCCTTATAGAAGCGCTTTAGGTTCTTAATAGCAGAAGTCTCTACAAGTCGGCAATACTTGTCAGTTGAGTCTGCAGAGTACCCATTAGCTAGCATCCAAAATGCAAATATGAGCTTCTGATGAGGTGATAGACTTTGTCGGCCTACGGCATCTATCTTCCTTGCAAAGTAGTGGTCATGATTGACAATTGCGTTCAAGATGCTTTCAAAAAGCTTTCTCCTCATCCAAAACCGCTTCCAAAAATCATGAGCATGAAATCTCTGATGCTTGATGAAATAATCTTTCATCATTCGGTCATGACACTATTCTTTATCGCACTGCACAAATGAACACCCTATGACATAACCACAATAACTAGATTTAGCATGGTGCTCATATTGCATAAGCAAGTTTGTACATTCAGCTTCTGCGTTGATCATTTCTGCATCCTCAATGTCAAGGTTTGCTTGGTATTGTGCCATCTGCATTGCCCTGCTATGCTTTCTTCTATCACCCATTGATGAGATATTGAGGATTTTTAGGAAACAAAAACACTTTGAAAGTTGAAAGATTGGTGAATATAAAGGATGATTGAAGGTTGAAAGATTGTGTGATCAACTGATATTCAACCTGTGTTTATATAGAGGATGATTGAAGGTTTCAGTTTCATGTGTGTAGGTTTATGTTTCATGCATTTCATGTGTTTCGTATGTATTTTGTATGTGTTTTGCGTGTGTCATGTGTTTCACATGTGTTTTGTGTGTGGTTCATCTCTATCATGTGTTTTGTATGTATTTTGTATGTGTTTCGTGTGTGTCAAGTGTTTCATATGTGTTCTGTGTGTGCTTCATCTCCATCATGTGTTTTGTATGTCCTTCACATATGTATGTGTTTCACATGTGTTCTGTGTGTCTTGTGTGTTTTATGTATTTTGTGTTTATACATATCTATCATGATTTTCATATCCTTCCATAGTGTTTCATGTATCAATTTAGTGATTTTCAATATTTATCATAATTTAAATATTTTTAGATTAAAATGTTCATAAAATTAATTTAGGATAGTCTACATAATATATTTTTTTTAAGTAAATTTAAGAAAAAAATAATTAGCCTAAATTCATTCTTTAATATTCTTGAGCTAAAATTTTAGGCCAGAAAAGTTGGAGCAGAAAAGTTATTTATGATTTAAAAGCTAATTTTTATGGGCTAAAAATTTGGCTTTTAGCCCAAGGGTTGGAGATGAGAGTCTTTCTGTATTTTCTGTATTTTCTTCTCTATGCTACTTTAGACCAAACCCAACCCTGGGCTATTTGCCAAATTCCCCATTTATTAACCCCCCCCCCCCCAAACCCAACTCAAATCTTTAGGCCAAAAGCCAAAAGCTAAACCGAGGCCAAATTCCGCCAAAAAATTAGCCCAGATTCGGTGTGGGCCCTACTGAATCAAGTGAAACTCGACGGTTTTGCGACAAACCCCTCCCCCACCAAGTCGCCAGACACGCGCGATGCGCGACCTCTCAGACAGCGAGGGCCCCACCCACGTGGGCCTATTAGCCACGTTCCCCAGGCACCCCAACAACTAGTTTGATCTGACGGTCGCAATCAACAAGCCGTTGGTTGATCCAACGGCCTAGATTCAAATTTTTTTTTTGTTTTTATATTTATATATTATTGAATTTAATGGTTGAGATCAAATATAATCAAATCTAATGGTAAAAAAAAAAAGATCTAACGGCCCAAATTTAAATCCAAAGGCTAAAATAATTTAAAAAAAATTATTTAACTCAAAATTCACCCAAAAACTTTATAAATACCTATGTATTTGTTCAAACATCCACACAAAACTCACTTTTCTCCTACAATTCTTCCAATTTTTCTTTCTACCGTTTTCTTCCCATTTCTAAAATTTTCAAGAGGTTAAGAGAGCATATTAGAGGTCGTATTGGACCTTTGAGGAAGATGTTGCTTTATGCTTGGCATGGGTTTCTGTTAGCGAAGATGGTGCAGTTGGCACAAATCAAAATAAAAAGGTTTTGTGGGATAAAATGATTGAAAAGTTCCATGAAAATTGCAACGGCGGCGGGTGGGAAGGTGGTGGTGTTTACGATCAATGGAATACTATCAACAAAGCATGCACTTTATGGAAGGGAAGCTTGGAGAAAGCCATGGTTGTCATGGCTAGCAGAATGAGCGCCTCATAAATTGTGAATTTTTTTGTTGATATTTTATTTGTTATGTACATAATATTATTTTGCAACTAATTGTTTTTATGTATTTTTTGCATAGGGTGACAAAGTAATGGAAATTTACAAGACAAGAGTAACACCAAAAAATCAACCTTTTAAGTTGCATCATCCGAGGTGGGGAACTGATGCAGACCAACAATAGGGAAGATTATTTCAATGTGAAACCGCACCAACAAATGATGGAGATGAAGGTCTCAATGAAGGTGTCGATGAAATGACCCCAACTCCTTCTTTTGCAAGGCCCCCAGGAAGAGATAAGTAAAAGGAAGAAAAGAGAAAAGAGAAATCCCAAGATCCGATGAGTGGACACATTGCTACCGGATTTGCAAGATTGAGTGAAACCCATAGCACTCGCCAAGAAGAAACGGCTAAATGCGTTTGCAAATGTAGGAAGAAAGGGATAGGGATCAAGATAGGTTTGAAATTAATTTCATCATGGAGGACCTCAACAAATACACTCGTGAGAGGAAGAAGTTCTTACATGGTAAGCAAAAGGAAATTTTGCAAAAGTATGCCACAAGGAGTATATTTCAAGATGATGAATCATCTCAACCCTATATCCCAAGTCCACCACCAAGTTAAGATGGTGGATATCATTATTAAGTTTATGTAGTTTGTGAATTATCGATTGTATTAAGTTTATGTGGTTTATGAATTGTCGTTTGTATGAAGTTTATGTACTTTATTAATTGTCGTATGTATTAAATTTATGGCTTATTAATTATTGTTTCTATTAATCTAGATGCCTTCAATAATTATTGTACTTATTATTGCACACTTTGATGTACAATAGATGCCTTCAATAATTCAAACAACATTCAATAATTTTGACAATGTACTAGACAAAAGACTTTGCACAACATAGTACACTTAAAATTATTACTAGAAAATACCAACATAGTACATTTAAAATTATTACATAAAATAACAATATATCACACTTAAATTTAACACAAGAACACATTAATACACCAACATCAGCAACGTTCACCTTCTCGGCGCCATACATGCTCAACCAAATCTTTGCGGAGTGTGTCGTGACCTTGAGAAGCTTGAATTCTATTTAAACAACTCATATACTCACTTTATGTTGTTGGGTCTCATATGTGGTTGCAACGAGATATTCAACATCTCTTGCCATAGCTCTCAAATGTGTTGGTTGGTCATCATCCACATCTTCATCTAAATCTTCTTCAATTTCGATATACTCATCTTCCACAATCATGTTGTGCAAAATTATGTACATCATCATGATTGGATAGAGGTCTTTGGTATGCCAAAGTCGTGTAACCTCTCTAACATTATCCCATCAAGCTTGTAGGATCCCAAACGCTCTCTCCACATCCTTCCTGTAAGACTCTTGCCTCTTCAAAAATAATTTCTTCTTTGCACTACCGAGATGAGAAAAACTTTTGACAAAGGTAGACCAACTAGGATAAATACCATCAATTAGGTAGTAACCTAGCTCATACCTATTTCCAGTTACCTTGTACCGAAATTCTGGTGCCCATCCATTGACAACATCATCGAACAGTGAAGAAGACCAAAGAACGTTGATATCATTGTTTGATCCAGATGCGCCGAAGAATGCATGCCAAATCCATATGTTGTAAGATGCCACAACCTCGAACACGATGGTTGGCTTGTTATGATGACCCTTGAATTGGCCAGCCCAAGCAGTACGACAATTCTTCCACTCCCAATGCATACAATTAAGACTTCTTATCATGCCAGGGAAGCTTCTTTTGTTTGCCTTGCGTAGAAGCCTTTTCAAGTCTTCACGATTTGGCTTAAGGAGGTATATGGCTCCATATATGACTTTAATTACCTTACAGAAGCGCTTCAGGTTCTCAATAGTAGTAGTCTTCACAAGTCGGCAATACTCGTCAGTTGAGTCTGCAGAGCACCCATTAGCTAGCATCCGAAATGCAGATGTGAGCTTCTGATGAGATGATAGACTTTGTCAGCCTATGACATATATCTTCCTTGCAAAGTAATGGTCATGATTGACAATTGCATTTAAGATGCTTTCAAAAAGCTCTCTCCTCATCCGAAACCACCTCCAAAAATCATGAGCAGAAAATCTCGAACGCTCGATGAAATAATCTTTCATCATTCGGTCATGACACTATTCTCTATCAAGCTGCACAAATGAACGTCTCGTTATAGAACCATGATAGCTTGATTCGGCATGGTGCTCATATTGCATAAGTGAGTTTGTAAATTCAGCTTCTGCGTTGATCATTTATGCATCCTCAATGTCAAGGCTTGCTTGGTATTGAGCCATCTGCATTACCCTATTACGATGTCTTCTATCACCCATTGATGAGATATTGAGGATTTTTAGGAAACAAAAACACTTTGAAAGTTGAAAGATTGGTGAATATGTTGTGTGATGGTTTGATATTCAACCTGTGTTTATATAGAAGATGATTGAAGGTTTTAGTTTCATGTGTGTAGGTTTGTGTTTCATGCATTTCATGTGTTTTGTATGTATTTTGTGTTTTGTGTGTATCATGTCTTTCACATGTGTTCTGTGTGTGTTTCATCTCTATCATGTGTTTTGTACGTCCTTCACATGTGTTTTGTATGTGCTTCACATGTGTTATGTGTGTTTCGTGTGTTTATGTATTTTGTGTTTATACATATCTATCATGATTTTCATATTCTTCCATAGTGTTTAATGAGTTTCATGCTTCAATTTAGTGATTTTTCAATATTTATCGGAATTTAAATATTTTTTGATTAAAATGTTCATAAAATTAATTTATGATAGTCTACATAATTTTTTTTAAAGTAAATTTAAGAAAAAAAATTAGCCTAAGTTCATTCTTTAATAATTTGGGGCTAAAATTTTAGGTCAAAAGGGTTAGAGCAGAAAAGATGTTTCTGGGCTTAAAATTTTGGCTTTTAGCCCAATGGTTGGAGATGGTCTTATTAATGGAATTCCTATTGACCAAAAAAAAAGGAGCGTAGTAGTATTTAATGTTTAAAATTTCTTCGATACAGTTGATATTTTAAAAGAAATGTCCAAAAAAATTGGAAAAAAAAATATGGAAATGGGGTGAAGCTTAAACTTCACCTCATAACAGAGAAACTTTTAAGTTTAGGCTGAAATCGACATATATCATTGATATTTCTGACCCCTGTTAAATATCGAAGAAACTCTTATATTTCGTCCAAACCAATGTTTAACAATCCCATAAGTTTTATTTTAAATTTTCATCATTTTAATCACAAACAATCGATATCTATATTGACATTCGATATATCCATTGACACACCCTGACCCAGAAATCAGGGCGTGCTAGCCGTCACGTGAGTGTGACGTAACCAAAAGTGTGATACGGAAGCAAAGGATATAATAAATACGAAGGAATAAAAAACCAACTACTAACAGTAAAAAAACCAACTAGCGTGCTAGAGTGAGTTATATCGTAAAACACACAATTCAGAGCGTAGGTACTAGGTGCAGTTAAGTAGGACTATAATTAAATTACAACACCCGCAGGTGAGTCCTACATGCAGGGTGTCTGTCAGAACGCCGAAGAGAACCTCGTGAGCCACCAACTGCTAGCTAGAACCTGGAGGGGCGCAAAAACAAAATTGAGTGGGTCAGTAAAACTAAAGCTTTCCAAAACATTACATTTAAAACGTCTCTAACCCCTCACTGTAAAACCTGTATACTTTCCCAGAAAAATAGTATATAAACATATATATATCATCAAAAGCTCAACTCACAATCCTTCACCGCTTTTCAGAAAGAAGATGCCACGCCATGCCAAAATATAATATGAATGCATCAATATAAATCAGGTGAAATAATAAATCAACCAGAGACCCTACAATGGTCCTGTATGGCTTATTCTATAGCTCAATATCCCATCCAGCTGGAGTCACCCACTGTGACCTGTACGGCCCTGCCGGAGTCACCAACTGTGACCTGTACGGCACTACACTGTACATAAGTTGGAACTACCTATAGTAGTCTGTACGACTATGATGGTGAAATAATACGCTCTAGTGCTTCTCTCATCAATCATTTACGCGTGTAATCTAAGGTCACCTACTAGTCGGAACCACCTCTAGTGGTCTATACGACTAGCATGTTGGAACCCTCTCGGGGTCTGTACGACATGCACCTACTTGGATCCAAGGTGAGCGTGCGATGCGGTGAATAATATAAGCACTAACACCAAGGGTGCAGATTATGAGTTCTCAACACAATTCACATTATCGATGATTCACATGATTAACATAAAACTCACCTGATACTCACCTGTGAGTCTACAGCACCAATTCACACATATATATGCATTAATATCAATTCATAATATGCATGCATGGCAATTGAAAACATACTTTCATATAAATTCAATTTCTGGGAAAATTAATAGTATATAGGTATATACGAAAACAAAACTGCCCACTCACTGGTAAGTCGATGGGTCGTAGCCCCCGTGACGTCCCTGGATACGCTCGTCCTCGGGATAGGTGTCACCTATATGTGAAACAACTATAAAAACGTTAATTAATGTACATAACCGACAATTCGAAATAACTTCTCATACGGTGCTCAATTTGGGTATATGAATATACCACATCGACCTACTCGACGTCACGGACGTCGAGAAATTTTTAGAAATTTTTTTTGACGTGGCACGCACCCCCACGCACCAGGGCAGGCATGGGTATACGCGCTCCCTACGCGCGTCTTCTTCCTTGGTTCGCCGGACTGTGTTTTCCGGTGGTCGAAAAACTGGGGATTATTCAATCCCCTTATTCTCCCTTATTTCTCAACCGTTTTCTTCGTATTTTATATCAATTTGAAGCGCTCAACATGTAGAATCACGATAGACTAGTTTCAAGGTCTAAAATCCACTAGATTTTACCTGAGAAAGCTCGATAATCCGGCCAAATTTGAAAAACTCCGTTCTCAGTCCTCCGACGTCTAAATTCTACCAACGAAGTACCCCGAAGCTCGTGAGGATCTCCTTAAGCTCACTGTGAGCTTGAAATTCCCTGAAATGCAAGATTTTACGTGTGCATGAACAGTGCACATTTTCGGGGTTAAGGTTTCACGACGATTCTGAGGGTTTTAACTTCCACAAATCACATATACGAACTCACAAGCTTACTAGGAGTTCAAATCTTACCTTAGAACCTTCGATCCGTGAAGAAATGGGAGGTTCCTAGCTTGTCCATACAATTCGAGAGGGAGAGAGCGAGAGAAAGCCGTGAGGGAGGAGAGAGAGATACACGGGGGACGGAGAGAGGGAAGGAAGTGTGTGCCTTCTTTTGGATGCCCATTTACAATGGGCATTCGCACCATTTACAAGACTCCTTTTGGATGCCCATATATCAATATCGGTTGCCTCACTATAACCTTGCTAGGAAAAACTAAGTGGAGAAAACCCTAGTTGAAGAAAAAAGAGTATAACACATATGTGTCTTAGATGCTCCCCCTAATGAGTATCTCCTCTCATTCCATATTCTTCAATCTGACCAATTACTCCTCATTCCATATTCTTCAATCTGACCAATTACTAAGTCGATGTAATATGGTGCTATGCACAAATTTTTGAAATGTACACTTTAGTAGAGATTTGGTGATGAGGTCTACCAGGTTTTTGTTGGAACGGATTTGTCTGATTTCAATACTTTAGCCTTTTGAAATTCATGTGTACTTAAAACTTGGAGATGTGTATTTTTTAGCGTTGTAGGATCAATCTATTACCATACATAAATACAAATTCTTCATGTGAGCAATATCTATGCATGCTAGAGAGATTCAAATTTTGCTTGCCCATTAAGACCACGCAAACCATCTATTATGACCAAGATAACAAACTTTTCTGGCATGATAAGAAGATGGTACGTTCTCCTTGCATATTGGGCATGTCATACAACCCTTAGTACCCTAGCTAGAAATCATTGCATAAGCGGGAAGATCGTTTATAGTCCCACATCATTGATACTCACAAGGTGAACATCTCGCCAATAGACCTATCTTATGTGCAAACATCGTTTCCAATAAATCCTTTAGCTTATCGACCAACGGCCGTAAATAAACATAAATGGACCTTCTTAGATCCTCGGTAATCAGTAGAGTCATCATCATATATTCTTTCTTCATGCATTTCCAAGGTGGCAAATTAAATGTGAAGATCGGCCAAGTGTTGTGGTGTTGGTATAGAACCCTAAACTAATTAAATATGTCAGTGGCAAGTCCCAAGCTGACGTTCTAGGGCTAAGCTGCAAAATCAAGGTACATCCGATCGAACTTTTTGCATGCCTCTTCGTTTGCAGGATGCCTCATCACATCATCATCTACCCGTCCTTCCTTATGCCATTCTCATGTCGTTTGCAATATGCGTTAGCATATACATTCGTTGCAACCTAGGTTTTAATGGCAGATAACGTATAACTTTTTATGGAATTTTCGTCGTTCTATTTTGATATGTTTAAACTCATTACATACGGGACATTTATCCAACACTTTATTCTCCTTATAGAACAATATACAATTATTTTTGCAAAGGTGAATTTTTTCGTGTATGAGGAACGACTAGACTATGCTTCACCCTCATTCAACACTTTATGCGTACTTTTATGATCTTTCGGCAAATTATTTTCAAAAATAATTGTATGTTCAACTAATACGGATCCATATTATGTTCAACATTGTCCACTCTTATCGTGTATGAGGGTGAAGCATAGTCTAGTCGTTCCTCATGATGATTCCAATAGGCCTCCATCATGTCATGTCTTACTAAATGAAATTAAAAATTTCAGAATGTCTCTGTTGTTGAGCTATTACACCTCCTGCACAAACATCGGGTTCTAGTTGAACACCGATTGTGTCTAATTAAGAACCCAATAAACTCATTTATTCTATCCAAGTATTCATCTACACATCTATCTGGGTTATATATCCACTGTCTTTCCATTATGTCTACATGCACAATAAAAATACAATGATTATAACTTCAACAAAAGAGATGTTACCAAAATTTCCACGATCGAAACCTAATCAGTAAACTACAAACTATGACACATAACTGTGCACTCCCAAACCGTCCGAATAATGGGACAATTCAAGAATCAATTGGAGCGTAGTCATGCTTTCGCATCCATGCGCAAAGTCTAACTGCTTCTCAAATGGGAAACTAAGCTTTTCTTAACAAAAGCGTACTAACTTAAGTACTATTAACTCCATACAACACAAATATTTTTGTAAGTGATGTACAAAAATATTTGCATACAAATAAATTAAATCACAACAATTAAAAAATAAATTAAATAGCTTAAATTAATAATAAGTGAAATAGCGTAGAAAATAGCTTCCAATTCATTTTTTACTAACAATCTTATACAACAACCTTATAGAAAACAATTTTAATTTTGTTAGTATGAATTCACAATGGATAATTTTAAATACAAAATCAAATTGTTAACTGAATAAAGCGTGATAGAGCGATGTAGGGAGAGGAGATGGAGATTGAGATGAAGGGAGTATTAGAAGATGAATTTGAGAGAAATAGAGGGAGGGGAGGCCGAATTTGAAGGGAGCTGAAGAAAGAGATTGTTGAGGCAGCAGCTGCAAAGAATTCTGTAGTTTTTGCCTCTCGCAACTGAGCAATTTGATTATAAACATGAAACTTTTACGCGATCCAAAACATATACCGTCGATAACCCTACATTACTTTATGCGACGCGCTATTCATCGCACGAAGAGCATTTGCCCAACGAATGTCAAATTCTTCCCACAAATACTCTTTGCACAACGAATGTCTTCATCATACAAGTTTTTTATTTATTTTCAAATTAATTGATATGGAATAATCTTTTTTTTTTCTAAACTAAATTAAATAAAATATTTAAATAAGCTATTCAAATTGTCTATATAAGGTGAATCAAATTAACCCAATATATACATGCAGTCATGATTTAATCCAAATACAGAAAAATTTAAAGATGCCATCCACAAATACATGATAAAAACTTAATTTATTTGTACATAACATCTAAATAAAACATTTACTTTGCTGGTGGTGCTTCTGCATTTCACTCGACGACATACTTTTATTCTCTGTAACGCCTCTTGAATATGTCATCTATGAACTTCATTAGGTTCAAGTCCGATTCATCAATAATATAATTAGCCAGTTATGAAAAAATTTAATTAAATATTAACAATTATAATATATTAAATAAAAAAAAATTATTAATTTAACAATTGTCATTTGCTAATAAGTCAGCCAACATAGACTTTTTTAGGTCTTTCGACATCTTTTTCCAAGACGCCCACTCTGTAGGACATTTGTTCCATAATACTGTCTCCATGTCATGCGTAAGCATGGCGTGTGACTCCCTTTCAAATCCCCTAAAATCATTATAGTTGATTCACCTTGGCCCGTAATTATTAATCCCCTTTCTGGTTCGCCTAGACATTCACTTGTTTTTATGTTTAAGAAAAAAATGAAAATTTCATAATTAAACTAAGTAATTCATCCAATTTACAATCATCCAATAATGTTTTTTCAAAAACAAAAATAAAACTATTAAATCCACACAAAATTTGGTATTACCTTTGCGAGATATGAGGGGTTTGGGGAAAAAAAAAAGGGAACTTGACGTTTCTGGGGAAAAGTATGAGAAGGAAAGGGAAAGTTAATATGTGATTTTATAGGAAAAGCTTGCAGTAATTACTTCGCCTTAAATCTTCGTCTTGCAAGATTTTTACAGAAAAATTGTTCGTTGCACGAGATTTTGATGCCAATCTCCTGCCACCCGCATTTTTCTCAGCCTTTGCACGACGAACATTTGGTTTCATTGTTCAAAGTCTTCTTGCCCGACGAAACGCTTCGTCTCATAATGTTTTTATAATTTTTTTTTTGTCGAGACATTTTTGGTGCGTCGCGTAAAGTTCAGCCACATAAATAGTTTTTTTTTTACTACTGAAACCATTCGGCACCTTTGTAACTTGTCAATGCATTTGGTAATTAGTTTGTAATTTTAAAAAAGATTACCTTTTGTACATCATTTGAATGATATAAAATGATGAGACATAATAATAGTTGAAGTCTTTCTTGTCTTTTGGTTGTTGTAGACTCAGGCAGAGTTTGCTGGGGCTGAAATAGGATTCCCTCATTAAACTTTGGTCTTTCAAAATATCATCTCTTGATGACTCATCCATGCTTGGCAGCTTCAGTGTAAGGGCCAACATCGTACCAACTGTCATGAGGGGTTGGTAACTTGAAATTTCGCGCCAACAACAGTTGAAGATAACTACTCAAGAGCAATGTAAGGTAAGCAATCAAGCAAGGTTCCAGGCAATTAGTTCCAAACCGGAAGTTTGATTTCAGGTTCCGACTCATTGTTTTCCTTCTCCTTGTCTTGCAGATAAGAGAAAGGATAAAGGAAAATACAGGGAAAGAGCATGATATGTGATACACTTCCTCTCGACTCTGATGATATGAGATGCTTTTGCTCTTTAAAAAAAATAGAAGAATTTGATGTTTGTGTAAAACTTCTCAAGCAAAAATATTTTCTTGTTAAGGAAATGAGTTGGGCATTTTAAGGGACTTGGTTGAAAGAGGTATTCTCAGAGAGAATGAAGATTGAGTATTTTGAGAGGCTTGATTGAAAATGCATTCTCAGTAAGGAAGAGGAGTTAGGCATCCTTGGAGGCCTGCCCTGTCGTAAAGGACGAAGGTCAACATATATAGAGATTTTTTCAATAGTGGATGGTGATGCCGTTAGGGCCTTGTGATCCACACTTGCGGCAACTTGTTAAATATATTTTAACAGAGTTATCCTTGATATTTGAAAAACTAAGAATGCATCCGAGAAATACCAAAAGCCGAACTTTTGAAATTCGGAGAGAGGACTAATTGCCATAGTTGATGCAGTGAAAAAATGGCAGCACTATCTCCAAGGAAGACATTTCATTATAAGGACTGATCACAACAGTCTTAAATATTTCCTATGCCAGAGGGCAAACACAGCTTTCCAACAGAAATGGGTATCCAAGCTCTTAGGGTTTGATTATCAGATACAATACAAGAGAGGCACATACAATGTAGTCGTAGATGTTCTATCTGGAATCCCAGAAACATCCAGACACAGTGAGGTAGATTCCTATTCCACCTATACTCTAATGGATTGTACTGCCATTTCTTATCAATAGATGAACTAAGAAGGTATAATGAGAAAGATGAATGGATTATTGCCAAGACACTGGAAGTATTACCTAAAACTCAGGATGG